TCAGAGATGGCTTCAGAAATTATTCCCAGTTCTAAAGTTATTTCAGAGCACTTCATTTCCAGGGGTAATTGGTGAGGAGTAATTTTACTCATGGTTTTGCAAATGAGAAGGGCACCAGGAGTTGGAAGGAGTGTGTAGGCGTTAGGAAAGGAAAAAAAGAGGAATTAATACGTATTATGTGCCAGCTCCCCGTGATAAATGCAATCATTATTTATTATAAACATGTACTAATAAAAAAATAAAAATTAATAAAATGTAACCCTTAAGACAGGAAGAAATGATCCTATAGAACTAAAGAAGGGGCTCGATCATTAAAGGGCTGATGCTCCCTCAAAGTCAAGGCTAGCCCGACGCAGAGCTATGGCACTGGCTGTTTGCACTGCTCCACTGGCCCCAGTCCCAGGAGTCTGACAGGCTTTATCACACCAAGAAGCTCAGAAAGATGGAGCTACACAGGCTCCACCTCGCGTTCCTGAAAACATGGATCACAAATACTTACAAACCTCACCTACAAGGGATAAATGTAAAGATGTAATTCAATTTAAAAACCATCTTTTTTCAAAAATTCAAAAGAACGTAAAAATCTGTGTGATATTTTTACTTCTTAACTGCGTTTTGTTCTCCAAACTCTATTTCCTGAGAGTATCTTACTATTAATGAGTATTTTGTGCACACTGGGGTTGTTCATACATAGATATACTAATAGTTTTCTTATTTTGTTTTTAAAGCAGAGCTGTAACGTATTTTTTCCTTTCAGCAATGTCACTAAGTTACATGCTTTACTTTGGTTATTTACCTCTACCTCTCTTGGCTTAATCATTCACATAACTGTCTATAATTTGTGATGTAGCAGATATCAATAGATCTACACAATTTGTAGCAATTACTATGCTTATATATAAACTTATTTAAATTTCGTCCAATTACTTGGACAGAATGCTTTGCCGAGAATTGAAACTGCTGGGGCAAATGGTATACAGAATGCAAATTCTGAGTCATAAGTCCAAAACTCCTCTGAGAGTTCCTCTGAGCACAGAAACAGGATTTATCAGCCTACCTTCCCAGTGTGTAGCTCAGGGCGCACAATCACAGCAGCATTAGATACTGGTATTTCTAGTCTTTAGGAATGTGATGTTGCTGAGAAGTTGTTTTTTCATTAATCTGAGCCTAATCATCTTCACATATCCTTATTTGTCACTTATATCATTCGACTTTCCTCTTTATGTTTTCAATTCCCTCAGAATATTAATGTCTTTGTTTATAAAAAGCTCATTTATGATTAAAGATGCTGACCTTTTAATTGCTTGCATTACAGAAGAAATGTCACAATAGCCTCCCTATATTAATTTCTCTGTGGTATTTTACTTTATTGTACAAAAGTATTTAAATACACTATTTTTTAAAGGCAAATTATTTAAGGATTACATAAGGAATAAAGATTTGAGTTTTATTGGGAACCCAACTGGGAATCCCCTGGGGAAGGAAACGGCAAGAGAAAGGCAGTATATAGAGGCTGAGGGATTTAGCCATGGAAAGGCACCAGGTCAAAGCATGATGGTAGCAATGGCAGTGGGCAGGGAACTCACAGACACATGTTGCAGAACAGGGTCTATGAGAACTCGGTGACTGGTTGAATTGGTACTGTCAGTGGGGATTAAATTACTGTGTCATCACAGGGTGTGGTTGATTTAGTCATATTTCCAATTGAAGTCTAAAGAGTTAGCTGCCACCAATGCCATGCTTAAAAGAAGTGAGGAAAAAGGCATGGAAATAACAAAAGCATGATCACATTGCCACTAAATGTGAGTAGAGAAGCTGTCACTGACTGGAATTTCTAAAAACATTTATTAAGTATCCCTAGAGAAGATTTACTTTTCCATACATTTTACATTCAACTCAAATTATCTTCTGAAAGCAGTGAGTTTATAGGTTGAAGTGCATAAAAAAATTTTCCAGACACAATTCTGGGAGGAAACAGATTGGCACTCCAAATTGGGTTATTTAATTAAATTTCTACAAAGGAGAGGATCTAGGAAAACTACGAGGTACAGCAGTTCTCCCTGGTTAGCACTGTTACTAACCCAAGGGAACTGTTACTAACCCAGGGGGCAGCAGTCCCCAACCTTTTTGACATCAAGGACTAATTCTGTGGGGGTGGGAAGAATAGTTTCAGGATGGTTCAAGCCTGTTACATTTACTAAGGACTCTATTTCTATTATCATTACACTGCAATATATAACAATATCATTATACAACTCATCATAATGTAGAATCAGTGGGAATGCTAAATTTATTTTCCTGCAACTGGACAGTCCCATGTTGGGTGATAGGAGACAGTGACACGCAAAGTTTTTTGCTGAAGTCCAGGCTACTCCATAATCTTTATTTTGGTTGTCGCTGCAGAAAACCCTGCTTTGCAAAGAAAATGCAAATGAAAGCAGGCTTTTCAGTGTTTTGTGGCCATCTCAAGATATTCTGCCTTTACTTAAATCCAGAACATTTGCAGATTTGAAGTTGTCTCAAAAATATTTTTACGGCCTCTGTCCTTTATCGTCTCTAAGAACTGATCCTCTTCCAGTTTGGACAAAGCTGATTCACCTGTTTTATTCACAAATGGATTGCGGGCCTAGTCCATCCCAGTTCAGGGACCTTCACAGTTGAGAAGTAATGCACAAACCCTCTTGAAAGCTGAGATAGTCATGTACCAAGTGACAAAAAGAAAGTCCTGGCTCAGTCTCTTTCAAAATACTTGCTAATATTTGAAATATGTCTAACATCCTAATGCTCACACAAACTCAGTTTGGGTTTGAAGGCAGCCACTTCATCTGCCTACTTAACACTACTGTCATTCTCCCTGCAGTGACAGGGTAAGCTTGTTGAGCACTTGAATATGTCACTGTTATGGTTTGTGACTGCATATCCCCCCAAATCCTCATGTAGTCATGGGGCAGGCTTCTAGATTTATGATTGATTCATGGTACAATGTTGGAATTATGGATGTGAAAGCTACACCCACCCTGGGATGGAAAGTTTGCATACAGTGTAAGGGAGGGAAAGAGACTGCTTGCTGCCATTCTTGCCTTTTGCTCTTGTTGTTTTGCTGTCTTCTGCCATGAACTGTAGCCCTCTGCCATGTGCCACTCTGCCTTACAGCCAGCCAAGTATGGACTGAAACCTCCACAAACTGTGAGCTAAATAAACCTTTCCTTCCTTAATTTGGGGTGTCAGGTATTTTGTCTCAGCAACAGAAGTAACTAAGATGGTCACACATATAAGCAAGTTTCAAGACTCATTCTGTGTCACTGTGCTGCCAGTGATAACTATTTCTCTAAGAAATCTCTGGAGCCACTCTCATAACTCAAAATCTCTGGCCACTGTTCTACCTTTAGAAAGCTATCTCATTTTCGTGTATAAAAGAAGACAGGTGTAAGAAAAGCAAGAGTTTTCTGCATCCATTTCTTCACAGAGCTGCATAACATATGTGAGTTAAGAACATGTATTGTAATATGGTTGATAATTCTAATCACATCCTGCAAAACACTGTTAAGTTTACATGACATTTCTGGCTAGCCAGCATTTCTCTACGGATAGCACAGTGCATAGAGTTGCATTCAGAAGCAACCTCTTTGACCCAAGTAGCGAAACCAGAAAGGCATCTAGTCATGGCCATTGCTTCGTTTGTGTATGCACCAATACAAAATGACCAATTCAGTTTTTTCTAATATGGAATCACTGAAAGAGGTGAATAGTTCTGCAGCTGTGGTATTGATTGGCAACAAAAGCACCCGTACCATATCCTGACGCACATCCTCATGAAAATGTATCCCACATAAACAAGCATCATTGCCTTGTTGTCCGCAATGGCAGCTCATCAAACTGGATTTCATATCACAGTGACTCAGTGATCTTTTCTAACAACTGTATCTCAATGGCCTCTGCTAGCTCGTCGATTCCGGTAGCTATAGTGCGAGCCAAAAGACGAACACATGTCATGTTTTAAACCACACCTCCTAAAAGTTCATGATAAATGTCCTTAGCAGCTGGTACGATCAACTCTTCACCAATAATAAAAAGGGCTCATTACCTTTAGCAATGTGGTTAGCCACTAAGAATGATGCTCTCAGCGCAGACACATTTGATGAAGTGGTGGCCTCCAATAATTGCTTCTGCTCTTCATGCTCATGTTTCTTTTTTCCTTTGAGAAACTCCAAAGGCTCATCTTTTAGCGCAGGGTGCTTGGGCACCATGTAGTGATGCAGTTTTTAAAAGTTTCATTGCATAGCCAATCACCATATAGCATACAAAGCGAGCTTGGAGAAGGTAAATCACCCATTGCAATGAACCTTTAATTTAAACAGGACTCAGTATTTTCTTTTAAATGCTGCTTTCTTTTGTCAGCAGTCTTAAGAGTTCTCTACGGCCTTCTCATTGGGTCTTTCTCTTTTTCAGAGATGCTCCCAGCACCACTTGGTTTTTATTCACTTAGACTAGGGTTACCGTATGTGCTTAACAAAACTCTGAAGGAAATGGTCAGTACAAGTAATACACACAGAAGTGGTAAATAAAACAGCAAGGTCACACACAGACCAAAATAAGTGCCAGATTGTAACTTAAAGCCAGCAGATGCAGCTGTACAACAGGAGTGCATTGACCCCCTTGCCACCACGAAGCCTGCCACCAAATGCAACTTGCCAAATGTCACCCACTGACAGTTTGGATATGAGTCTGCAAGCAATTGATTTAGTATGTTCTGTGTGGTCAAATGTCTCTGCTAATGTTTTTGCAACCACTCCCCAGCACTAGCATCACTTCCTCAGCTCCATCTCTGATCACCAGGTATTAGACTCCATAAGGAGCATGCAACTTAGATCCTTCACATGGGCTCCTGTAAGACTCTAATACTCCTGCTGATCTAACAAGAGGCAAAGCTCAGGTCATAATGGGAGTGATGGGGAGTGGCGGTAATTACAGGTCATGCTTCACTTGCTCACCTGCCCTTCACCTGTTGCTTTGTGCCTCAGTTCCTAGCAGATAGTGGACCAGTACCAAGTAGCCTGAGGTTGGAAATCCTCTCTTAGGAGTTCAAAGGAATAACTGCTCATGAGAATCCAGAAAGATTTCTGAGATCACCTAACAGGTACGATAGTTTGAGATAAAGAAACACAGGCAACCTGTGGTAACCCTACAAGGTGGGATCTGGAATTTACCTCACTCTACTTTCCCTGTCTTCTCTCTAAATGTTGTCTCCCACTCACCTCCAGGCACAAGAACACCCGCTGATACCGTTCAGAAGCACAGACTGGAGTGGAGAATCCATCCAAAGTGGAAGGGTCTTGCAAGCACACTCCACTCTTGTGCTTTCAATAGGAAGAATAGTTCTCATCCACAATACAGGCTGCACAGGGAGACTATCAGTACTATAACAAGCAACATGATTAAAAAAAAAAAAAAAAAAAGGCAGAGAAGTCACTATAATTCACAGGATGAAACCAGCCACACATTTCCGAACCTTTCCCTACCTGCATGGTATCAGCTTTAAAACCCTTTCTGCAGGCAAGGTATATCCCTCTTAATCTTAATTGACTTAATTTAAATGGTATATTTCACAAAAGTCCATGTTTTACATCTTAAGGTACATGTTTGAATAAACTTTATTTTGTCATTGAATTAAAGTATAAATAATAAATTTTTTATTCACTAAATAATGAAAAAACAGTCTATGCTCTTAAAATACACCATTAATACCTTGGGGATGAGTGATGAATGACAAATATTTGCAAGTTTGATACTTCACTAACATGAAGGAAAATGATTCTGTTGATTTTTCTACTTGCTCTCTGGCCTTCCACAAAGACTTCGGTAAATGTCTCTAAGAAGGAAGTTTTCGAATACAGTTAATTACATTACATCTGTAGAAAATGCTGCAAAATAACATGAGCATAGTGTATGGTCCTCAAAAGCCATTGAAAGGGTTAAGAAACAAGCCTGTCTCACTACCTCTGCGAAGATAGACATATAGTTTTAGAGAGGTTGCATCCTTTGCTGAAGGTCACACAGCTAAGAAATTGATAGAGTCCAAACTAAGCTACACCAAAACTATGAATTCATTACCATTCACTATAATCCATTAAAGTATCTGCTTTTTGCAATTAATTACTCCATAGCAACATTTCTGTGCTTTGCGAGACCTCCTACTTCTTATTGTGTGTGTGCATTTCTAAAGATAAATTAAATATGTAACAACCTGAACCTGTTCTGTGCTCCTACTTACAAATCTTTATGAAAGTAAATTTCAGTTTTGCTTTTGAAAACTAAAGTTCTCAACTAGAAAAGCACAGATCCACAAAACTTCACCTTAAAAAATAGTACCCAAAAGAATTCATTGATTTCTTAGCTTTTTGAGTCTTGCTATATTATTCCTATTTCCTTTACCTTTTAAGTTCATCGAAAACCTTTTTTAAAAATGAGTGTTTTTTTATACCCAGTGTAAAATGTGTTCCAACTCTGGTGAGAACGGACTGTTAATCTCTACATTTTATTGACCTACTTCAGTTTCAGCTCATTAAACACAGACATCTCAATGATCAAAAGAAAATGAACCAAATGTAACTTGGTGTAACCTTACTGAGTAAGAGAGTTATTCAAAAAGCAAATAAATCTGAACAGGTAATTTAATATTGACAGTCTTCCATTTAAAGAATATATATGTAATGAGCAAGGGCATCCAGGAATAATTCTTTCTCATACTTTTCATTTGATCAATAAAGGCACACTCTTGGGGTGCCTTTCGTTCATCTCCCTTATCAGATTTTATTCTCTCCCAAACTTTAAGACAAGGACAAATAGAGGACTATGACCTCTACAATGATAGCTTCCAAGATTATTTATCTTGCCTATAGAATTATGAAAACTAAAATAAATGTGTTTATAACACAGAAGGGAAGAAAACAGTAATTCAAACTCATCCTACTAACAGTAGTAAAAATTTAGCCCATAAAATATAAAAGTTTAACACCTTTTAAATATGACTGTATTTGAAATATATTTAAACGAATGTCTGCACCATATCAAAACCTACATGTTTCATTACCACTGAGAGGTAATTCTGTCTAGGGTAAAATTTCTTCATGCCTCTAATAAAATATCCTAAATAAATAATGAGCTAAACTTTAAAAAGAAACAAAGAATTTATCTAAGATATCACTGAAAGGAGGTCTTAAAGGCAAGATAAATCTAAATACTCAGCAACCATTAAGAGATAAAGAAAATATGACACACAGGCACAATGGAGTACTGTCTGGTCGTCAAAGAGAAAATTCTATCATTTGCCAAAACATGAATGACTCTGAAGGACTTTATGTTAAGTGAAATAAGCTCGGTACATATGGACAAATACTGCACCATCTCACTTGCATGTGGAATCAAAAAAAATGATCTCATAGAAGTAAAAAGTTGAATGGTACTTACCAGAGGAATGGCTAGCTTGGAAGGGATATTAAAAAAACTACAAAATGTTTTAGAAGGAGTAAGTTCAAAAGATCTGTTTTATACCCTGCTAAACATAGTCAGTGATGATATACCATATTCTTGAAAAAATGCAGAGAGTGGATATTAAAGGATCTTACAACCAAAAATAATAACTCTATAATACATTATTCAGCAATTTTAACATATATATAAACACATCATGCTGTATACTTGAAAATAAAATTGTATCAACTTAAAATTAATTTGAGGAAAAAGTCTAGATAAGTACTTCTAATTTGCAATTGTTAGAAATATTTTAAAGACTACGCCTGACTATATCATGATTTGTGGTATTATAGCAGTTATTTGTTTGCTTATTCAGAAAAGCAGTGGCCACTCTATCTGGTCTTCATGAAGTCTGAACTCCAAGCCAGTATCTTTTCAGGAGTAACGATCTTCTTAACTCAGGAAAAATTTCACTGATAGGAAATATGTGATTTATCCCCAACATAAAATTAACAAGAGTGATAGATGGAAAAATGAATCATTTTCAAGTTCATTACTATTAACTTCTTTACGGAAAAATAGCTTTTTACAAGAAATATATCCAAACGAAACATAAACTAATAAATCCAGAGCCAAACACAGCTTACATTAACAACCTTTATTTTTCTCCATTCTCTCAATAATGGGTCAGGAATGCTCTAACACCAGCCACACTTCCTGTATGGTGATAACAGCTATGGAAATGCACCCCTTAAATGTTAAATAATTTTCCTTTCATGGCAGGATATTCGAGGAAACTCCCCTAGACATTTGTCTGAAATTCATTTATTTCATCTCAAAAATGTTAATTAGATTAAAATTTCTTTAAATTTAAATTTTATAGTATTGGGATCACTTTATAGAATTCGTTGCAAAGTTACCTTAGAAAAAATAAACTCCATGAAAACAGCTTACTCAACAAGCCCAGCTTAAACATAATTTAAGAAACTTCACCTACTACATGTCTCATTCTATTAACATAAAGCATAAAAATTTTAACTAAGCACAATAAATAACCTATTTGCTAACCTATTTACATATCAAAATGGGTTCCTTAATGTTGGCTTAATCACAGAACAAAAAGAGAAATCAGTTATAGAGCCTGCTCCCAAAAAGTCTCTGGTCTAATAAAAAACAAAAAGAAATACATTTTTAAAACAGTCTTGCTACTTTGAGTCCCTGCTGTATGTTTAAAATAGCCAAGTACTGACCTATATGTGGTAAGTTTCAAAATTTCAGGGGTGATCAAGGAAAAGATACCAAAGGACCCAAGGTGGAAGTAGCACACAGTGAGCTTCAGGGGAGTCCCCCACAGCACGAGGGACGGGGTACGGGCTCTCACAGAAGACGAGAATCACAGGAACTCTGAAGAGAGAAAGGAATGGCAGAGGGGCTGGCATGTGAAGGTGAGATCCCTCAGCAGGAAGCCGGAATTCTTTCACAGGAAGTCTCCGGGTCCCAGAAAGCTGCCAGGCAGGGTTGCCTTGGAGTCTTTTATAGCTCAAGGCTTTGTTTTATCTGCAGCTTCCCGGTCATGGGTGAAGTTCTGAGGGTCTGTAAAGCAAGCAGGCTCTAAATGGATAAAAACATGGGAACTGGTAACTACAAGGAAAGCAATTGGATCTGTAAAATTTTAAGTTGGGCCCTGATGGGCCTTGGGCTAATGGTTCTAGCCTGGGGTGAGGAAGAAAAATGAGAGCCCATCTGCACTCCCGTAAACATTAAATGTCACCGCACAGACAGCAGAATCCTAGCTATTCATGCATAGCCTTACTTATCTCTAGAGTTTTACTTATGAATCAGAAAAGTCTGAAAGATGTACCAAAATACTCCTTGCAGCTTTACCAAACTAACAGACGTTGCAACTCCTATCCTGGACTAAGCCCTCTGTGGGCACCAGCCAGTAGAGTGAACACGGTACACAACAGGATCGGCTACATCATTTATTTGCAGCAGCAGAACATTAAAGCAAGCACTGCGTCCCTCTAAGTGCAGAACCGTATGCGCTCTCACAGTTCAGTCACATGCCCACGAAATAGGCTCTCGTAGATATGTTTTCTATTTTCATCATGCACATCACCTAGTGGTGAAAGACCAAGAATTAAAAGGAAGATAATGAATGTGGCACGCAGGAAACAAAAGGAAACAAAGCCACGCAGGAAACAAAGGGATGCTCCACTGACAACTGGTAAAGCGAACCTTGAGAAAGCCCACTCCAAAGAGCTGACAGCGGACACCTGAAACATGCAAACAAGGCAGCTACACAATGGGTATGTTTGGGGGCGGGGGCACACTTTGGACGGGTTCCTGCATGAAGTTCCCAATCAGGAACATTCTGCTTCCCCTGGAACAGGTGGCAACATTTGGAGACCTTTCCGCTTGTCACAGCGTGATATGACAGGAGGTGACACTGCTACTGGCGTGTAGTAGGTGGAGGTTTGAGTTGCTTCTACGCATTCTACCATGCCCAGGATGCCCTCCCACGCAAGAGAAAAAGCTCATCTCGAGGTGTCAATGGCGCTAAGGCTGAAATACTCCAGTATTTCAAGAGTTCAGTATGTTTACTTCTTAGGGCCCCAGTCTTTATGGTAATACATCAGAAACCTATGTTTCTAACCTGGAGGGAAATTTTAATTTGTGTTATGGTAATTCCGTGGAATATTACATGGCCACCAAAATTATTCCTAGAAAAAAACTGTAACGGTATAGAAAATATCAGTACGTTCATAACCTGAAAAACATGATAGAAATACAGAAGTACTGTTTTTTTAAAAAATATATTTATGTGCTTAGCAAGGGCTTTCTTTTCTTTCTGAAAGAAAACATGAAGGAATTTTGGTAGTTATTTATGAATGATAATATTCTTCTACTTGCTTGTGGTTTTCAATACTTTAAATTTTTAAGAGAATGTGTATTCTTTCATAAAACTATGAACATACAGAATCCCATTTTCTTTGTATAACAGTGCTTTAGACATTCAGCTTGCTTGGTAGCCATATGTGGACCTGATGCAACTAATAAAAAGCTGTGCTATTCTGTGTGACTCATACAAGAATAAATACTCATTTTAGAATGATTTCAGCAGGATAATTAGTGAAATCTGAGATTTACTAAAGATGAAAAGTGGAAGAACTGTTACAGTCTTGTCTTTTCTTCTACATGAAGGTCAGGTTTATATAAAAGAAAAGTTGATCTCAAAAGTGGCTACCAAAATTGCTATTGTTACTTAGCAGATCACATTCACCAAGAATCAGTTTCAACAAGGCACAGGTTTGAAGTCTTGCACGACTTTTTTTAACAAAATAGTTACACTGAGATCATGAAAGCATGTCTATTTAGGAGAAGCACATCGTGCAAAACATTGCTCTTGATTCTACCAGTTAATGATAAAAAATGTTACAGATTTAGAAGGCATCCTTGTCAAACATAAGGACAATTTAGAAAGCATATTATATATATGTACAATATATATACGTATATATGTGTGTGTATGTATATATATATATATATATATATATATATATATATATATATATAATATAAATATATATAGAGAGAGAGAGGTTAACAAAACTCCGTATTCCAGAAAGAAAGGTGAACTGGCTGGAAACATGCAAAAGAACACGATGGAAGCAGAAGGGGTAAGCATAAAACACCATTCTTAAATTCCCCAAATTGAACGCCTTCTAAAGCTCATTATACAAATGCAGCGTGTTTGGACACTGGCAAAAAGGAACTTAACAATTATGAGACAGAGGCAGATGGAGACATACATAGTATGTATAGCTGCCACACCACATTTATGACTGCAAGCAGTATTTACAATTGACCTGCAATAATTAACTGTTCTGTCAACTAGAATAAGAAATGCCCAACTGCTTGGCTTACACAGTTCTGGGTGTGGCTTAATGGATTTACTGCAGATGGAAGATCCACCTTGGACTGCATGGCACCAAGCAATAGGCTTGTCGCCTAAATGGAATAAAAAGGGGGACAAAGAAGGAAGGTTCCTTTCTGTTTCTTCGGAGGAGCTCCAGCCTTCACTTTCGTCTTGGAGGTCCATCTCCTGGCTTCCAGTGCAGACCCTTCAGCTTGCTCATACGGACTCGCAAGGGACTCTGGAGTGAGCGCCATGCCTTCGACTTCCGACTGGATCCTTTGGATCTCCAGTGCACAGCACAGGCAACGCTTTTGCACTCTTTCACACCTGACTCTACAGGCAGCCATTGTAAGCCT